CTTCCAAGTTGAGAGCAATTTTTAGCGGAGGGTTTTTCTTAAAACTGTTGTGTTTACTGTCTTATACTACATTCATCAATCATTTAGCTAACTCGCTTTTCACACGACTCACTATTTATCCTATTGATAAAATTTCCAGTCAAAAACCCTTCGATGAAAACTGACAGGTTTTTGTATCTGATTTTTTAGAAACTAAAATCCAGGTAAAAACTCTTCCAATTCTACGTAATCATTTCAACTGGAAAGAGTGAGAAACTTTGGGAAAAAAGTGGAAGCTATTATTCGAAATGATGAACCAGAATTTGAAAAAATTAACGCCCACGGGAGACACTGATATGCTTTAGGATTTTAAAAGCAGATTTATATGCAGCGTCGATAAAAAAATTTTTTTATGTGTGAAAATGAACAAAAATGGACAAAAGATGTCTAAATTCCGCCGCTGAGTTAGATGTAAATCAAACGAGCATTTTTAGACGAGCTTAAATAAACACAAGGTTAACCTCTTCCATTGCCGTTTCCTGAAGCTCTTTGAAAAAATTAGTTGATTTTACATTTACAGCTTTTAAAGACCTTCTTTTACCATTTTTAACCTTCCTCTCAGCCTCATTGTTCTCTGTGGCTAGCTCACGTCGTTTCTGTCGATTTAAGATCCGCTGTAACTGCTGCAATAAACAAATTACAAAAGCCTACTTAGACAAAGGCAAGAAAGTTTCTCACAAAAAAAAACTCTTTAGGAAAACGGGTCAAACCCGTTCCTCAAAGTAGCACTTTACCCCTAGTTTTTCTACTTTCCTAGAGCCAAGACTTACTTACACTCCCCTGCGTGAAATTCTTCAACTACCTAGCTATAGCTATCTCATTTCCTATAAAAGACTAGTAAAACTACAAACACTGCCCAAAGCAAGATATTCTGGACTACAAGTATTCAACAATAAACATGATTTTGAAAATCATCTAAATGCACCTTTTTTTTCCTTCTTTCACGAGCCCGATCTGTGCTTCCTCTTTCGTCACTTCCTTTAATTTCGCCTTTCTCGTGACGCTTCACTTCCTCGGGCGCAACTAGCATTTCTTCAGTCGACGCCATGGGACCAACTTCCTCCTTACGCAAAGATGCCATGTTATTCACTATAGTTATTTCCGGCCGAACCTGAAGATAACCAAAAACATTACTCAAACTGTTAAGGACGGTGAACCAAAACATCAGTACCACACAGATATATTTTGCTCGCTCCAAAGAGACCAAAACACGGTTTGCTAGAAAAACTGTCATTATTTACTTCACTCAGTTAAACATTTACTTCACTCTTCTGCAAAAACTCAAGTAAAGTCACCACAAATATTCTAAGACCTCACCTCCGGTGGAATCGTTTTGTAATGAAATAAAATATCTAGCCTCTTAAAAAGCTCATTAATACGAGTTTCAATTTTTGTTCTATCCCCCTCTTGTTCTTGTTTAACATCTTCCTGAAAAACACAAACCTTCATTGAAATAATTTTAAATTCGACCGTTAAAGGCAGGACTTAATTCCAAAGCCGTACAGGAAATTTGGAAGCAAAACAGAATAAAAAATGACAAAGTACTTGTCATTAGTAAAATAGCAAAGGAATCATGACTAAAGTTCTTTAAAAATTAAAAAAAAAACCAGATTATTTTTTTGTTGATACTGTTCTTCATAAACTTCAGCTAAAGACTTTTTAGAGATTTTTTCTTGCAGAGGAACCCGATAGCTTCGAGCGGTATCTTGATCACGATCTTTCCTTTCAACGTCGTCAAAAGCCTGACATTTGAAAAAAGTAGGCAGAAAAACTGACAGTAGAAGCAGAGTGGTTTAATAAAAAACCTACTTTGTCTTTTATCCGTTGGATAATCATAGCTTCCAGTCTTTCAGTTTTGTCAAGTGTTATTAAAGGAGCTAAAAAAAGTTTTTTTTTTAAATTCTAGAAAAAACTTAACAACAGGAACAATTAAATTGAACAATGTCACTGACCAATCCTTCTTCCATGATCATAATCAACGTGCTTTTCCAACATGCTGTTCGTTTGCCGATCCATGGCTGTAACCTCACCGCTGAGTTCCCAACTGCGGGGAGCTAAGTTTTCCTCTTCCACAGCTGCTATTTTTGCTTTCAACTAAATGTTTCTGACTAGAACAATTAAGTGGCTAGTCGAGCAGTACAATAACTTTGAAAACTAAAGCACAATTTGAAACATCATGTTAAAGAAGACAAACCTTCTTCTGTCTTTTCTGGAAACCACTTTCTTCTTGCTCGTCGTTCACTGCACCCAAGAGCACGGGAGTCCCTAAAAAACTTCTTCTAGCCTAAAAGAGTAAATGCCACTAAAAAGTAACCCCGAAAAAAGAAACAAAATCTAGCACCATTCGCGGCTCCCCTTCCATTATCATTACCTTTCAATTCCTCGGTACTGTTCACAAAGTGTACTTTTTTTCTGGCTGGCTCTTCTTCGCTGTCAGACTATAACAAATGATGAAAAAGATTTCAGTACAGGTTACTGAGAAAATTTAAAATATAAAGAGTATTTTTCATCAGAAGTGAAGTATGCGCTAAAAAATAAGACAGCAAACTTTTGGGTACCTGAGGTTCATTCTTCTTCCTCGCTTTTTCCCTCAGTGCAGTTTTTCTGGATTTCTTCTTCCTTTCTTCAAAATCTGTTTCTCCATAGAAATCTGCATAATGATAGTCAACAGCTTCATCGTCCTCGTCGTCCTGAAAAAGACAGGATTTTTGAACGTCATAATAGGCAGGACCAAATTTTGCATGCCGCGTATTTTATAGGAAAAGATAGAAGTCATAAAAATAAGAAATACTTTAAAAACTTTTTGCTGGATCTGATTGCTTTTAAAACTTACATCAGGCGCCTGTTCAAAGAAACCTTTGCTTGAATCATGCTTCTCCTGTTCATCCAAAAACTCTTCCATCTCAGCCAGTGAAAAAAAGCGGTCATCCACCACACTTCTTCGATACTTTCTCTCCACTCCCTTTTCCCGATTATCATCGTGCGTACCTGGCAATTCCTCGTCTTCACTCATTTCGTTTAAATTCTCTTCCAAATCCTAAAAATCCCATTCAGGGCATAAATTAATTGGTAGAAAAAACTCAGACCTTGGCGGCCTTAACGGATACAATCCTATAGCAAAAGTCATTAGCCTTGACTACCAAATATCGTCTTGTTTAGTCACTCATAAGAACAAAAACTTAAAAAAAATTCTTTTTCCCCATTTTTCTAAAGAACAGTTAACAAGCGTGGTACTCATCAATTTAAATAAATTGAAAAACATCAATTAAAGCCTCAAAGAATCAACAAAATATTTGTTCAGACATTGGTCCTTGACACTCCAGTCTTACCACAAATTGTTCTCTTTAAAATCTGGAGAATAAAAAACTACTTTTTAAAAATTAAGACCTATAGACTGAAGGGGAACAGATTTCAAAATTTAGCAAGATTAACTAAATCCTACAACACATTTTGCGATCCATTCTCTACCTTCCTACAACCTCCTGTTATGTAGCTTTTCCTGCAAGGATTCTGATGGGAACTGGCGAAGCAAACTCATAAACTAATACAACGAAAACTGTTTAAAAGAATCAGCCAATATAACCTTCAAGTCGTCTTCCGTCAAGTTGAACAAAGCATCATCTGTGTCTTTATGACTACCGTTATCTCCATCAGCTAAAGCACTAGCGTCATTTTCTGAACTAGTCTCGGATTCTTCATCTAAATCGTCATCACCTTCATAACGCACGGTGGAATCCTCATCAGCACAAGCGTGCATTTGACATTCAGGAAGAATACCAGATGTTGAAGCATCAATTATGCGCTGGAAAAATGACATTCGATGAAAAATTTTCCTACCTTTGTTTAAACCAAATACAAAAACGATGAACAAGTCTACCTTGAGCTTATAAAAGTTCTTCTTAATCCGTCTGTTTTGGCTAGCAAGCTGCTGCCAAATCACTTCATCATTCAACGTTATTAGTGGATCTGGAGCAGCTTTGCCAAACGTGTTTTCTGTAATAAGCATTGAATATCCGTTACTGAGGTAATCAAGAAGAAATGATGACTCGTTACATATTCGCCTGAAACAAACTCGAAGTGACACATCTGGAAGGTCACACAACTACCACGAACCAGAGAACTTTAACTTGATCAGCAACAACTCCTACCTGTACTTAATAAAAGAAGATTCGTCCCAATCGGGAAAACAGTCATTCCTCCCAAATGAATCTGTTTTCTTGAAAGAACTTGTAGAAGCCTTAATTCTTGATTCGCTTTCAACCCTACCTTCCAAGAATATATTTTCTTTTTTCTCGTCTGACATTCTGCGTGCAGTGGAAGTTGAACACCCCTCATTTCGAAGCACAGCAGACTTTTCGCAGAGAGGTCCTAACGAATCAGGGAGTAATCGCGCTTCAGCCTCCTGGTCACCAACATCCAAAGGTTTAGTACAGTCTAGCTTTGTAGGCGTGTCCGCCACATGCAACTTAAAATAACGAATAATTCTCTACAAAATTTGTTCTAATTCAGCTAAAAAATTGACAAAAAAAGCTCCTACAAAACCAGACTTCAAGATGATAAATCTCTATAGCAAATCTGATAAAAGCACATACTTACAGATTACCCAGTGCTTTACCACCAAATCGCACTTACAAGTAAACATTACAATAAAATTTAAACCTCAAAAGAAAGTCAAAACTCTGTTATAACGTTTACTTGTAAGCCTGTTCTGTAAAACACCAATCGCGATCATAAATAACTACAATAACAACAGAGATATCGAAAGTTCTTCTTTCAAAGTAACCGTAATACTCAAGTAAATTTTTAGACAAGACGCAAATTCATCGCTTTTACTTTTTCCAAAAAACACCTCTACCTTTGCTGTTGCCAAAAAGCGCATTCAGAGCACCCTACCTTGAGATTTCAGAAAAACTTTTTTGAGACCTCATTACTTTAAATATAAACTGCCGTTTTGGTCGTCGACCTAGCGATACCAAAAAACGCGAATAGCGCGGAGGTAGATAATGCCAACTGACAATAACAGTTTTTACTTAAAAAGTTAATAACTCAGAAAAGTTGAGAAATTCCGATATACGAAGTTTACGAAAAAATGACATTCACTAATGCTTGTCATGGGGAGGAAATTCTGCTTTTACATGCCTAAAACAAACAAAAGGTTGACGAAGTGAAAAGTCAAAAGATTCAGCCTAATGCTTACAAAAGAAAAAATATTTTTTTCAAAATTGACAACAAGCACTTCAGGCCGACGTCATTTGGTATGCCCTATAAATGTTTAAACAGAAAGTTAAATGAGCAATTTCAAAACATCTGACTTTCATGATTCTCAGCTATACAGCTATAATTAAGATAACCTTTAATAGAAGTATAAAAGTTTTGATGAGCCCACTCCCGCGGAAATTGCTGTTATGAATTAAAAAAACCAAATATGCTTAGCGTGAAAAAAAAAGAAGAAACCGAAAAAATTTACAAATTTTGACTTAGTATCAAAACTAAAGCGGTCTATCAAAACAAAAGCAGACTATAATAGAGAATGATAAATAAAAAAACACACGTTCTAAATCAAGTTTTTATTGACACACTGTTAAAGCTAATTGCAAATGACTTCTTTTCATCCACAAAAAGCACCAAAAAAATGTAGAAAAAAAAATGAATACCTACTTCTGACAAAAAATACCAAGTTTCGAAAAAAAACATCAAACAAACCTTTAACTATTAACTTCTCTACGATATGAATCAAAAATTCTATGCTGCACTCAACAACTCAACAAAAAATTATTGTCGCAGCTAGATTAATAAGGCTTCACTAATGAAATCATATCTTAACAACATGAAACGTTGACTACAAAGTAATATGAAATCCTCAGTTGTTTCAAAAATTACAAAAAAAAAAAGATCAATATCCTTTCTAGTAACAATATACCGAATGTTTTTAAGGTAATCCTCAAATCTCAATTTCAAAATAAGATACCCCCTTTTCCAGAGTAATGTCTGGCTTATTCAATACTCCTCGACACTCCAAATGTTCGGTGTCGTTGGTTCCTGCGCTAATCTGCTTCTCATCAACTGCATCTTCTTCATCAGTATGAGGTGTATTTTCACGACGCGGGCTTACTTTAGCTACCTCAGACGTATTTGATTTGTCTTTCTTTGTGCCAAAAATATCTCTTCCTTCTTCGCAATTCCCCTTTTCAGTAGTGTCTTCTAAATCCGTGGTGACATTTCCAAACGGATAAGTTTCTTCCAAAACCTTACTTGCTGAGCAACTTCCATAATTATCCTTCTTGACTTTATCTCCTTCCTCGACAAAATTTTCTGCATTATCTCCATAAACTCCACTTGATTTTGAATCTGCGTTAATTTCTGTCTTCTCTTTGGCTGAAATAACACCATTAGTTAAGGAAGAAAAAGGCACTTTTTTGAAACTTGTCCCATTAGGTAAAGACTTCTCACTGTCCAGAATCAAAGCATCAAAAACTGGAAGTGCTAATGTACATAACTCAGATTTCTCTCCAGTTAGAATTTTCTTACCTGCCAAACCTGGACAGGTCTCGCCATCAACATTGCCGCTAACCGTACATTTACTCGGAAAAAGTAAACCGCTATCTTTATTACTCTCACGGCCTGAATCCAAAAAATTATCCACTTCTAACTTTTCACTGGTGATACTTCCCTCTTTGACACTAAGAGAAGTCAACCCATCAGTAGTTCCGACGCTCTTTGGACTCCCAAATTCATTTGAAAACTTTTTTCTGTTTTGACCAATCCCTCCATCACTTCCTGGTAATAAAGTTTTTAAATTCAAATCCCGTTCAGCAGCATCTACTTTCTCAGAGCTAACTACATTTTCAGCATTCTTCGCACCCCGCTCTTCTTTAAAAGCTTCTTTTATACTTTCAGAGCTCGTTTTTCCAGAGCTACAAGTTTGCGAATCACTTGACTGCACGTCACCGTAAACAGAAGTCTTATCCTGGGAAGAATTCAATAAAAAATTATTTTTTTCCTTATCGTCTTCGTCTTCAAGGGTGTCATCCAGAGATTTCTTTTGATGCTGAGATTCATGTCCATCACAACTTTCAAACGACCCAATATTATCAGATTTTTTCTCAAGAATAACTCTTTCTTTTTTGCTGTCTTTCACAACACTGGCCTCCTCCTTCTTATCCAACAAACTAGACGACTCAGAAGTCTCTGGTGCCTCTTCGTTATCAAAGAAAATGGCAATTCTCTTCTGAATGAGGTCATCACTACCGCTGGACTTCTTTAACTTGACACTTTTCAACAAAAATTCTCCGCTGTCTTGTTCTTCTAATTCCTCGATAACCTAAACATAAACTGGACATAGAACTTGAATTCGTAAAGCCAAAAACCGCTCTATAATAATTCCTTTAAAAAGAAAAATATGCGAAGCGTGTGAACGGAACTGGCAGTAATACCTCAGGAAGCTGAAACTACCCCATAAATTTGTTGCATATTATAATTCGCATTTTAATCCTTCCACTAATCAAAGAGTACCAACCTCTACACCGAAAGCAGAAGCAGTGTTTTTAGCATTTAAATATGCACTCAACCTTGAAGAAGTACTGACCGTTTTCTCCGTCCCAGTAACTGCTCTTTGAACCCGATCCTCACCTAGAGAAAATCTCTCCATCGAGACGAAATAAACAAAGTGGCACGAGCGACAGGTTATATAAATAAGTCTTTGAAATCTTCGTTCAACTTTAGAAAAAAGTGTACACAAACTACATGTAAATCCTACTAATTTTGGCAGAAAAACTGTTGCAGTGAAATCTAGAAAAGTCAGGATCAATTAACTATAATAAACCCACTCAAAAATTCACAGTAAAAAACTAACTTATCAAAAACTCTTCCTGAAACTTTTCAGGCTTTTCGGAAGCTAAGCGTTTTGATCTCCTTAAGGGAGTGCCTGGTTTACTCTTTGGAGTTTTACCCTTTGGTTGCTCAACTGACTGTTTGGCAGATTCTGATTTACCTGGTGATCCAGAAATCGAGCCAGTTGCTGAATTGAGTGAAGTTAAATAAGTTGTCAACTTTATAACAAATAGTGCTGCACATTATTTGAAAGTAAAATTTGCAATAAAAATTTCAGAGCCGCGACCCAAAATAGCATGGAATTACGAAGACTGTGTAATTGATATAAGAAATACATTTTACAGTTTCTTCTGAAATATCTTTGAGCTTCTCAGAAGCTAACTCTCTTGACCGTCTGAAATCTGTGCCTTTACTCGTGTCTGAGCTTTTAGTTTTATCTGTTTCTGAAGCTGATCTGCCAAGACGCAAGCCGCTTGACGAACCCACCTTCACGTAAGCAACTGAAAAAACCTAATACTCTCTATGTTGAAATTACCCGACACCCAAACCATTACTTTCTTAAAAACTATCCTCTTACATTCCTTACTTAAAGACACGTCAGTTTCAATATATTCCAACTGTGCCGCTATGGGAATGATAACGGGACTCTAAAAAGCCATTTCTTCAGCAAATAAAAACTGACACGGTGCAAATTCCTCTGGGACTTCTTCAGGTTCTTCAGAAGCCAAACGTCTCGACCGTCTGACGGGAGTAGCTCGATGAACGTCTGAATCTTTCTTACTCTTACTCTGTTCAGAAGACTTCCTTCCACCTAAACTGAATAAAATGTCT